CTGTCTTTTCTCTGCAAGACTGTGTGATGAAAACAAGCAGCAAAAGCAACTAAATTGATCACAAAATTGACAAACAGATTTATTCTACTTAAGAGGAGTCCCTCCGATCCATATGACCAGACGTGATTTATAGTTCTGAGATTAAATGAATTAATAAACAAGTCTCAGATTTTTTTCACATCAACTTGGAGTTTTAATAAAAGGCTAATTTTATCTAATTGGATGTTTATTATCTTTAAGTGCCAGTGAAATGTAAACATAACTTCTTAATGCACTTCAGCATTCCCATTAAAAATTACAAGTGTGTGTGCGTTTGTGTTGTACTTGTTGTTTCTGGAGATATGACATGACAATTTGACATTTGGCATTCACAGTTTGCTTTGTTATTGCCACTTATACAAAACACTTTTTAATGAGCTGCTGTGTGTACATCAGAGCATAAATGTACTAGTGTATAAGGTATATTTATAGCTGACAAATGGACATGCATTTTTTTTAAAAATATATTTGTTTTAGGGAAAGTGACTTTTTTTCCACCTTTTGCCTTTATATGATTTTTACATTGTACATTTTTTCAAAAATACATTTTGCCAATTAGTCTCTCAATTAATGAGGCTTATGTGTAGAAAACGTTTAGATGAAGTAAAGCGTATCACATTTCAAAGTTTTCAGCTATTTTAACTTTTTTTCAAACACTGAAATAATAACCAAGAGATTGCCCAATTAGAAAAGGATTCTGAGCAACTATGCAAGATTCAAATAATTAGCTAAATAAAAAGTGTTGTAAATAGTACATAGGATTTTATTTTATTTAAATTTTAGGGCAATACATTTCTGTTCATTTGAAAAAATTCTGTATTTCACATCAGTCACAATAAAAAATCAATAAAAGGGTCAATAAAAGCATATTTTATGTCAGTTTGCTTGTGTTCCTGATACACAAATATGTAACGTAATAGAAGTAAATAATAAGCAGCAAATTTGAAAAGTAGACATTCGGTAAAACCGTGATTGTATTGTAGAGATCATCAATGACAATGCTTTTGGGAAGCACAGTTCTGGTCAATTGAGCTGCACTAAAACGCATGCATTATAACCAGTTCTCCTTCTTTTCCTCCTTTATCCCAGATGTACAGGCCTTGTGTCGAGCAGGACACACACACACACACACACACACACACACGTCTGGCTTCATCAGTGCTGATAGAGGAGGACTGGATCTCTCATGGGAATGACCATTACCAGGCAAAGGTGGGTTCATTTTGACCCGTGTGAAACTGTCAGAGAGAATTTCAATCAGGCAACACAGAGGACCAACTAAAGAAAAAAACCCTCCAGGACTACAGGCTGTGATTACATGGTAAACACCTCACATATAATGGGGAAAATGGGATGATTTGACTCTTTTGTTATCAACAAGGAGAAATCTCGTAGTGACGTGTCCTTCAAACAGAGTTCAAATATAGTGTAATTGACCCTTCACCAGGAGGTTGATTGACAGGCGATCTGACCAATGATAAGGCCGAATCTGCCATTTCATTTGACAAACACACCAGACAGGAGAGTAGATTAATATTGGTGGACTTGAACTTGAAAAATGGTGTGTACTGACAACTTTCACAGTTGAAGCAAGAAACCTTTCGATGTTCATTCATGTTTATTGCATGCTATAGATTAATTTGTGTTGCCTTGTTTGATTTTAGTACATATGTAATGATATGAAAAAATTCTGGAAAAAGAAAATCTGTGTGTGTTATATAAGGTAATGTAGTGCAGTCCAGGTGCTCTGTAAATGGTCGAACTGTGCTCCACTTCCAGCAGCGTGAGAGATGGTGACCGTGGTGATTTAGTTCACGTGTTTAAAATTAGCCATGGCATCCATCACTAGCACCTGGAGAGGAGCAGGGCACTGGCCGTCCTTCAGCCCGCACACATCTGCATCCTCAGTGCACTACAGAAGAGCAGCCACAGGGGGAGCCAGAGGTCTGGAACACCTGGAGAGAGATCTGCATGCATGCTTGTTTTTCTCAATGGTAGTTGCTCAGCTGGTGCATGCGAGCTGAATCTTTACATAATGGGTACTAGATAGTCAACAAGAAAATTTCTATTCATATTTAAAAATAGTTGAGCTATCACCTTTTGTGCATTTGCCTGCTGTGTCCTACATTGAGCTCCAGGAGCCGTTCCAATTTGAGCCCTTAATTACCATGAGGTATGGGAAAAAAATCATAATGCATTTTAACATGAATGCATGTGATGTCAGATACAACAAAAGTGATGGTGAGCGCCTGTGGTTAAATGAATGCTTACATTAAATTACAGCTCAAGTCGTTCTGTCTTTCCTCTGGATGGAAACAAGAGGAGACTTGCTGCCTGCTGCCTACAAAGACAGCATACTAAAAAACAAAACGTTATAAGAGAACTCGATGCACCACACAAACACTCTTGCAAAGTACACTGGAGACTACAGAAGCCCATTTCCGCCACATAAGAAAAAAAAACATGATTTGGCAAATCATAATTATGGGATAAATGTCATATTTATTAGATAAAAGGCTGAAATTATGTCATAAAAAGTTTAAATTATTACATAAAAGTCATAATTATGACAAAATTAGAGCAGCTGAAATTATTACAAAAAGTTAAAATTTTAACATAAGTCATTATTATGACTCCTAATTAACATATCATTATTATGACAAAAGTCATACTTATGACAAAAAGTCTAAATTATGAGATACTAAGTCATAATTATGTAAAAAAAATATTACAAAAATTTTACATTATGACATTAAAGTCAATTGCATTTTAAAATTCATACATATGAGACCGTCTAAATAATGAGATGCTAAGTAACATAGATCGAAATTATGATATATTAAGTTATAAGTCAACTTTATTACAAAAAGTTTAAATTATGACATAAAAGTCCAAATGACTGTTCATAATTATGACAAAAAAAGTCATGGTGAGGTAAAATAGATAAAATGACAAAAGGTTTAAACGGACATAGAATTCAGAATTATGACAATTTCAATTATGATATTGAGTCATAATTATGAGATAAATAGAAATTATGACAAAAATGTCAAAGTTTAAAATCATGACAAAAAGAGTCATACTTATTACATTAATTCTAAATTATTTTGTAAAATTTGGAAAATGTACTGTAGACAGAGGAGAGTCACAACACCCAAGTAAGTCATAAAATTATTAAAGAAGTATTGCTCAGAAATAAAAGATCGCAAAAGTAAATTAAATTACAAGTATGTACATAGAAGTGTATACATGTTACTCAGTTCCCAATTAATTTTAATTAACAGAGCTTGACCTTAGCATGTTGCAAAACTGACAACACATTGCTTTAATAATAAACATTAAAATGCATAACAGGCGACTTCAACTTTTGTTAATACTTTTCACTATTCAGTGATCAGATCTAACATTGATTCTTATTTCATCTATGATCTTGGATGGATATTTTTTACTTAACGCATTCTGTAATTGCCTTTCCTGTAAATGATAATGGTACTGCATCAAAATTTGACTAAAAGAAGGTATCTTCTTCTTAAGTTAATGTCAGTGTTTGTATGTAAGTGGAACCGTATCCAAAGTCATAAGTTCAATTCCCAGGCAAGACACAAATGCACTGTAAGAATAAAAGTGTTTCCCAAATATGTAAATGTTGTCTATGTAGATATTTTAAATGTGTTGAAACCTGTACGCTTACCATAAGGCCACAGCTGAAAAAAAATGGTATTCTCCAGAATTTCAGGTTTGTTCTGTTCTGATGTTTTGATCTTTTTGTTTAGACTGCAGTGTCAGCTACAGTAGAAACATGACAGCACATTACAAAAAGATGGCATACGCATTGTTTGTGCATGTGTGTGGGCGTGTGCTCATATATTTGCATATAACTTTACATGGAAGATCTGTCATGATGAAATCTCACAGATCACACACAGCTGCATGAGTTTGGAGCGTGTGAAGATGATGATGATGAAATTGTTAGTTGCGAATGCTGAAGATGTGCCTCGATTCGACTGACCGAATTTAGACACATGAACGGAAGATTAATATCACAGCAGTTTTACATACAACAGCCACCAAATAATATTTTATTCCTTCTTATTATAGTTTGAATTGGCTCGTCATTAAGAACTGTCAGTTAAAACTATTATTTAGAACATTTGACTGAAATGGTTTGAATTTGCCTCTATATGTCTCTCTGTGTTTTAGGAAACATTCATAACAGCATATCTTCTTCTCTCCTGGTACAATTGGCCACACAGCTCAAAAATCATCACGCTTTGTATTTCTAGTTCATGTTCAGTTTCCAGGTTCATCACACTTGTTGTTCCAGATCATTACTGTCATTATAAACTGTGAGTTTGCTGCTGTTGTTTTCTGTTAGAGACTGATGCTTTCTTGAGGGTTTGTCAGTTCTGCAGCGACTGCAACACAATAGAGCTGCAGCACTGAACTGTGTTCTGTTACTCCTCCATTAGACGGATCAATAAATGCTGCATCTGCTGTCAGAGGAGAACACAACAACACCAAGAACACAGAGAAGACCACAGTCGTGGAACAGTTTGCAAGAAGTATTTAATTGCTTATGATTTTTCATAGGTTTTCCAGTAACAATATCTAAACATTCTTAAATAAAAATACATTTACTTGGTAATAGCATTAGACAATCTCTCTTTTTTCTGAAAAAAGGTATCAAAATTTGGTCGTTTTTGCCTTTGCAACAGGGTAAAAATAAATAAATAAATAAATAGTAGCAATAATAATAATACTAATAATAATAATTTAAAGGGGGAATAGGAAAATAATTTTTTCTTGCCCTTTTGGCAGATATTTTTTCTCATTTTAAGCAAAAACTCTTATTTTTTTTGCCGTGTATGTGCCTTAGTTTGTGGTATTACCGTCACTGTTACTATTTCTCATATAGATTAAGAATGTGAGAGTGTTTTAAGATTTACTGTAAAATGAGATACATTTTTTTGGTTCATATTTTAACACTAAGACAATGGGGCACTGTAAAAGGTTTCCAGGACCGTTTTAATTTGAATGTCACACTAACTAACTAACTAACTAACTAACTAACTAACTAACTAAATAAAAGTCAAAAAAGTTACTAACCCCTGGGACAAAAAAAAAAGTGTCCAAAGTCCAAAGCACTCAAGTGGTCTTTTTTTACTAAACTAGCCTCTGAAACACCGTTATTGCTTTCTGGGGTTTTTTAACACTGTAAATATCACTGTAAAAATATTTTTTGACTTGATTCACACTGAACTGTATATTCAAGATTATTTAGCCAGAAAATAAAGTATTTTTTCTTAACATGTCCATGTGTTACATTTGTTTGCAATCTGCATTTCACAGCAGAGACCCTCAGCTTCAGTGAGTGCAAACTTACTGGAGGAAAACATTTCTAATACTGACTTGTTGAAAAGTGTTGGACACATTATACGTATTTTAGTAAAAGGCTGACAATGTATTAGAAGAGCATTAAATAGTACTTCGTGCTGAGGGTTCACAATTCTTTCTAAAGGTGTTTGACTCTAAGATGCTTGAACATTGATGGTCTTGAATCCGTGCAGGACGGTGGGAGGATTCATCAACACTAAACTAGCGTAAAGCATCTTGGCACCCGCCATCCTGGGAGTGAAATTAATGGGCATCCTCATGGTTTCTCGAGGCTGGATTGTTAGCCTGAAATATAAGGAACAGGACATTTAGGGAGCAACAACATGCCAGCATCACTTTTACTGTTACAAGCATCACTATCACTGCTGCTCATGTTTAGGGTTAGTGGTTTACACAGAGGTTCATTTGTAGGCCTATATACTGGAGCAAATCTACAGTTTAAACACAAATAAACTTACACTAGAGATTCTGCGATACACACAGAAACTGAAATTACCTGTGATTCAGAAATGCTGGCGGACAAGTGCGTAACTTTTAATAGACACAGCCGTACACTGTGTACACCCTCCCAGTGTACACATACATCTGAATGAACTCAACTGTTTGACGCCCATCAGCGACTTGTTCACACAGACTCACTCTTCAGGTATGTGAACAAAAATTCATCACAGTAACCATAGTTTCTGCTAAAATACTGTTACTGCTGTCATGGTGTACAAATGAGTATGGGATCTATCTTAAACCGTAATAATTTTTCTATTGTTTTTTAAATATTTTTTAATTACAGTGATGGATAATATAGCTTTACTGTACTGTAGTGGAAAGAGTCACTGTGGTACTTGCTTTGATCAATTTGGAAAGGAGTTGGCAGATGTGGGAAATGGGTGTGGATAGAAATGGATGAATATGGATGTGTCGTTTTGTTAATATATTAAAATACTCAATCAAGCTAATTATGCGGAGACATTCGTAGGTTGATTCTTCTGAACAGAATATGACTGACACTTTCTAAACATTCTGATTTGTTTGAACATCCCAGCCAACCCAACTACTGTATCAACCAACGGTGTGCAGTATGAGCGGAGCTATCGGTTTGTTTGACCATTGACTGATGGGGGTTTCATAACAGTCATTTACTTGTATGATTATGTTGTGTATTAATTTGGTGATCGCTCAGAAAAGAAACACTTCATATACCTTGTTTGAACTTTCTCCTGAAGTCCCGAACAGGCTACAGTCAGTTCACCGCTCACTGCAATGCTGAACGGGTTGGTGAAGGTCACTGTGGCCACTTGCTGCGTGTTGATGACCACATACTCATTCTGAACCTGGAAGAAAAAAGTGCAAAAAAAAACAAACAATTGCCTTCATGTGTAATGCATTTTATACAACGTTTGTATGTTGTAATGCATGATACATTTCCATAAATAATTGTAACCAAAATTAACATGCATTTTAATATTTGACAATTATTTGTGATATCGGAACAGAATTATGAGATATAAACCCTGAGCTGTGAGATACAAACTTATAATTCTGAGAAGAAAGTGAGAATTGTAAGATATGAAGTAACACATAACATATTTATCCCGTTGTGAAAACGGGCTTCCATAGAAATTAATTTGAATGCATTATACTTTCAAAGTTGTAACAATGAATAGAGAAATGTTATGATGTAATTAACTGTGGTTACAGTTATTGATAAGATCATGCAATGCATTATAATGTGCATTACAAGACATAATTGATGTAATAAAAACATGTTTATAATGAATTATATATAAAGGTCTCAAGTAAAGTGTTACCACAATCTTTCCCACATAGGATCTATGGTTTTGGATTGATGCATGTCTTTATTAAGTAGATCTTAAAAACAATCTGAAAATGGTTTAATTTGTTACTAAACAAATGTCTTGTCATTTCGTCTTACTAACTGCATTCTCAACCCATTCAAGGATGGGACTCTATTTTGTCCTTTGGGAACTGATTGGTCAAGTCATGCTGACTTTTTTATACAACAACATTAAATGGCAACATGAATTGTACAAGCATATACCTGTATATTGAGGGAAGGGCTGCGGATGTTGAACTCCTCTGAAGCCAGCACTCTCTCCTGAGACTTCACATCCTCAATAACCACAGCCAGGTTAACCAGAGAATCCTCCGCAGCCTCCGTCAGCATGTAGTCCTTGAAGGAGATCTCATGTTGTATAGTCACAGCTGGTGGAGTACAAGAAACAGGGATCATGGATTTGACTGAGCAATTCCTAATGAGTCAGTTCGTCACCTTTTGGCATTCATAATCATATGATCCAATAATATCCATATGGGTGTTTTTACACTGTAAGACTTGGACGAAATGTGTTATGCACACTGGTTGTGTTCAGAATGGAATATTAGCTTACTGCACATTATACACTGCTCACTATTTAAATAAAAAATAGTAAATGAACAGTATGCAGTATGCATTCCATGATGAACATTTCAGACAGTAGTAGGCTATATTTTGGTCATGTGATCTCAACAAAATGCATGTGAGTGACATCCAGCTTCGCTTCAGAGGGCCTTTATGATAGATAGATAGATAGATAGATAGATAGATAGATAGATAGATAGATAGATAGATAGATAGATAGATAGATAGATAGATAGATAGATAGATAGATAGATAGATAGATAGATAGATAGATAGATAGATAGATAGATAGATAGATGAGATTTTTTTTAATTGAACTCTAATTGTATTTGTCTGAAAGGGTGAGTAAATGTTTGGGTGAACTATCCCTTTAAGCTTTTATGGTGCATTTAAATCCACCCCTTTTAACACATCCATCCATTCATGTTTCTTTTATGTTTTGCTACCTTGTAAGGCTTTATTTTTTAAAAGGAAAATAAGTTTGGCTGTAAAAACCAAAAGTTCTGGTTATACATTTTAAGCTAATTTTAAGTATTTTTTTCCATTCACTATAGTTTGCAGAACTCTTACTTTCTTTTGGGCCGATCTTCACATCGCCATGAGCCTCCCAGAAGGTTCCAGTGGGATTGCGGTTGTACTCCTTGTTCTGAGCATTCACATGTTTTCTCAGAAGTTTCGGAACAGCGACTTTGTTAGTGATTGTGACGTTGAAAGAAATGTTTTCGCCGACTACAGGGGCTTTCAGAAGCTGGAGAGAAACCGAAAGGCCTTGAGGTGCTGCATGAAAGGACATGTTAGATGAAATGTTTGATCACTGCATTCAGTCATATAGTACTCAAACACACAAAGAAATGGAAAACCAAATGCTAGAACTTACCCACTCTTCCTGTAGCACCTTCACCTCTGCGAGCTGGAAGAGAGTATTTTTATGGATCAATATTTAAATCTAAAAAATAATAATGAATATTTACATAAAAATATTATCAAAATCATATACGTAGGTGCAAAGTTTTTTTTATTCCTCTCTGTTTTGTCTTGTCACTCTTCCTTCTCAGTTTGCTTCAATTATGTGTGTGTATATATATATATATATATATATATACACGTACACAGACAGATACATATATTTTCCTTTATTACTGTTTTTCAGATTCTGATACTAGTCAGGTGGATTACACATGTCAGCTTTCAAAAATGAAAAGCTAGGGTGACTTACCATCAGTGCTCAGTGCACGAACTGTGCTGTCATCTAAATGTGAAAGAAGGAGATTTTTGTATAAAACTAGCAGTAATTTAACGGTGAGTATTTTGTCTTTTTCTGTCTCTTACCCATCTCAGTTTTGTATTCAGACGTGATGTCCTGCATACGCAAGGATCCTGGATGTTTGGTGCAGATCATAGCTCCAACTCTGTTTTTATCAGTGCTGGTTGTTAACACTTTCCCATCTCTGACGATTACTGTACGCACATTCGCATTCACTGCTGCGTAAACGAATGGCACATCGTACTGTGCATCCACCTTCTGATGATAAATGGCTTTAACAGCAGCAGGGCCACAGCGGAACATTTCTGTGACAGAATAGTGATGTTTAAGCATGATTATCATTCAAATCCCTCAAAAAATAGCATGCTTTGGATAAAACGAATGGCATGCTATGTAGGCAGCTCACTAGGTTTTGGAACAAAGCCCACAACTAAACTGGCCCACCAGACGAGTACTAACCAGCATAAACCAGCCTATAAGAAGCTGGTCTTTTCAGCAGGAATAAAAAAACGCATGATATTTCTATATGCATAAGCCTTGTAAAAATAGCTGTGATGACTGACCTGCGCTCTTCTCTTGTGGCGTGGGGTCGAGAACCTGCCATCCGTCATAACCTCGACCCAGATCAGGCCTCTTCATCCAACTCTCCACCCACATATGGAAGTTCCTGAAAAAAGGTCAAACACTTTTAGCTCACATTCTGACAGATTAAAAATCCTGAAACAATGAATTGTTCCTTTTTAATGCAATCAGATCATGATTATTTGTATACTGTAGCCTAATGATGGTGCAGACGTGTTTACCGAAGCATAAGGAAAAGCAATAAAGTACTAAAGATTAAAAAAATTCAGAAGAAAGAATAGTTTTATTCTGCTTCTGCATTAAATTGATCAAAAGCCATTTATAGTGTTACAATAGATTTCTATGTCCAAAAAAATGCTGTTTTTTGAACTTTCTATTCATCAAAGAATCCTGAAAAATCAGTTTCCACAAAAATATGAACATTGATAATAATCAGAAATGTTTCTTGAGCAGCAAATCAGCATATTAGAATGGAATAAATTACATTTGAACATATATTCACCTAGAAAACAGTTATTTTAAATTGTAATATTATGACACCATTTTACTGTTTTCACTGTATTTTGGATCAAATATGGATTTTAGCGTAACTTACCAGATGCTATCCCTGCCGATGGGTAATTTTTCCCCCATCTCACTGTAATATTCCTCAATCACTATATTTCTGTTTGTGTCGTGAGCGGAGTTGAAGTTGGTGACGACTCGAGTCGGAATGCCAAGGGCTCTCATTACTATCACACAAACAAATGCATTTAATATTGAGCATCAAGAGCACAAATTAAATTACCACATAGTCATTGTGGTTTTTTAATTTCATTATTTGTGATTATTTTTGTTCAGTCCATGAAACTACTTTTTTGAGTGTGGTATTATAAATCACCATTCACTTTCACTGTATGAAAAAGAGCTCCTTTTGTGTTTCGCAGCAAAGAAGATGTGAGATTTTTAAGTAAATTAACCCTTTAAAGCACACACACACACACACACACACACACACACACTCTACCATTTAAAAGATTGGGGTCAGTAAGATTTTTTTTTTAAAGAAGTCTCTTACAGTATGCTCACCAATTATTTGATCAAAAACACTGGAACAGCAATATTGTGAAATATTATTAAAATTTTTAAATAACATTTTTCTATTTGAATATGTTGTAAATTATAATTTATTCCTGTGATCAAATCTGAATTTTCAGCATCATTACTCCAGTCTTCAGTGTCACACGATCCTTCAGAAATCCTTCTAATACACGGAACATTTCTGAAACATTTTACATGTTCGTGCTGCTGAATATTTTTGTAGAAACTGATACATTTTATTTTTCAGGATGCTTTGATGAACAGAAAGTTCAAAAGAACAGAATTTATTTGAAACACAAATTTTTTGTAACATTATAAATGGCTTTACTCTCACTTTTGATCAATTTAAAGCGTTCTTTCAACAACAACAACAAAAAAAATGGCTCTGATCCCAAACTTTTGAATGTAATGACTTCTATTTGTCCCACCTGTACACATGACAGCAGCAAACACCCAGCACTGTCCGTATTTCACAGGACTGAATTGTGTTTCTGCCCACTTCCTGAGAATATCTGCGCTGCCGGACCACTGTGAAGGGCTGACCCCACCGCTGTAGTCATTTGACCAGTTTCCCATTAACACTCCTTTATCATCATTAGAGTTCACCTGTTTAGCAAGACAGAGAGACTATATTAATACATGGAGAGAGAGAGAGAGCAGAGAGGAGAGAATGAGAGCAGATCCTCACCATCGCTGAGATCACGCGGCTGATGTAAACCGGATTGCTGCGGTTCTGCAGATCTTTACCTAGATCCGCTTGATGTTGAGGACTCAGCTGCAGCAATTTCATACTGATGTCCAGTATCCCTTTTTCATACTGAAAACACATGTATGCATGGCAGGAGTTAATGTGAAGCTGTTTTGCAGTGCTGAGCTGTCAGTCAATGGTCAAACATCTCACCTGATCAAACGACCAGGGTCTGGAGACGATGTTCCCGAGGCTGCCTTTAAACAGCAGGCCGATATCACTCCTGACAAATTCAGTCCTCAGATCCTCCGACTGCAGGAACACTGAATCAGCTGCAGAAAAACACAACCGTTTGTTTGTTTTATTGGTGATCTTTGTGTAAAGACAAAAAATGGAAGCAGTAAGTGATAAGAGGCTATGCATTACCGTGATTTTAGCAGCAAAAGCAATGTATAATTACACTACCATTCAAAACTTTTTATTTCTACTTTTATTCAGCAAGGATGTATTAAACTGTTCAAAAGTGACAGTATGGCACTACAAAAGATTTAGATTTCAAATAAACGCTGCTCTTTTGAACTTTCTATTCATCAAAGAATCCTGAAAAATAAGATGTGTCACAAAATGTTTCAACAAAAATATGAAGCAAGCAGTACAGCAAATCCACATATTAGAATGATAGCAGCAAAAACCACTCCGACCACTGCCAAGTAACAGCCTGCTATCAAGGCATTCGGTTTCGTGTGGACACACAGACAGCACTCACCTGGGCACCAGGGGTTGCAGAGGAGCGTGAACTGGCCGAGCAGATGTGATCTCACAGTCAAACGGGTCTCGACTCTCATCTGAAGCGTGTAGACACCGACAGAAGCAGACGCAGGGCTAGACAGTGATACCCATAGAGCATGGGGTCCAGTCGGGTCCGGGATGTTCCTCTCCAGAACAGCGCTCCATTGAGTCAGAGAGGAATGTCCGAGCCTGGAGACCGGGACCTCCACAGACAGCGGACCTGCGGTGAGGAGAGAGGAGTGGGTACTTTTACATTTGCATATATTTCTGTAAAATTACACAAAATTAAAAAAAAATGTCAGGTTTTACTCTCCTTGTGAGGACATTTGGTCCTCATAAAATGTAGGCAAAACCTAACCCCCTCACACACAAATGCACAAACATACCTAGAACAATTCGGAAGATCAGATTTTCCTTCAGTGGATCGAATGGTCGTCCATCATAGCTGATTGTCACTGTAAAGGCCTGTCCTCTCCGCAGAACCAGAGTGCTGGAACTCAGACCGTCGGTCTTGTGCCGGATCTGGTTTTGCACCTGTTGCAGGTCGATACTTCGAAGTTTGAACTCTGTGTCAAAAATGGTCAAATTATTTTTGAGGCAGCTGCAAATGTTTTTATGTAAAAATATAAGTCATTTAAATTTGCGAGAAAAAATATTTCTTGAAATACTTTTTAAATATAATTTAATTCATTTCCAATATTTTTCAAATAAACAGTGTTCTAAATTATATTTAAAAAAAGCTGTTTTTAAGCAAGTGTTTAAAGTTAATAGCAATTAATTCATCATTTATTATAGCAGAGTAAATAGTAAAGTAAAATAATCTGATTATTTTAAGAAGAGATTAAATGCAATAGGCTAATAAATATAACTCAAGAACTTATTGTAAAAGGTTTAGCAAAACGTCTTGAAAGTAAAACACCAAGACGTAAAAAATTTAATAAAAGCCAGAAATCATTTCAAATTTAGGAGCTCACCATCCATGATGCTGTGTTGTGGTTTGCTGTTTGATTCAAATTCTTCATTTATTGTGCTTTTTATACGGAATCCTTCTGCCCCTCCCTATTCACCAACGTTGCCAGACCACATTCACGTAAAGACACGGAATGTTACAATCAAAAGAACCAACACCTCAAACAATTACGCAATCGTACATACGTGAGCACTGTGTTTCAGCAGGTAGATACAGAATGTACAAGCTCAGACATCTGTGTCATTTATCACTAATGCCTTATACCTACAATGTAGGATATTTTCATGTCCTCATCATACTAACATATGCTATTTATGCTAATTATTTCTTTCTGTATGCATGTATGTATGTTCATTCATTCAGCCAGTCATTCATTCATTCATTCATTGGAATTCATTCATTCATCACTCTGTTTGCAGCATTTCTCATTGCGAGTGTCATGGCGGATGCCCAAACCCACAATAATTTAATAAATATTATAATAATAATAAAATAACATCTGATGTTATGCCACGGAATGTAGTTTTAACCGTTTTTTTTTTGTGTGTGTGTGTGTGTGTGTGTAAAAAAATAGCACTTAATTAATGCTAATTTAAATCAAAACACAGACAGAAAAAAAACAATAAATTATTTTATTTAAAGCAGAATAAATAAAGGCAGTATAACAGGTTATATTGATGTGCAATTACAAATTAAATAATATAATTTTTGTTTGTTTGTTTTTTGCATTACAGTATGAGAATTGAATGTAAAAATGGAAAATACAATCTTAACAGTTTTTTTTTTTAAAGACTTTTGGAAAGATGTTTTCTTTAAGCTAAATTAATGCAATCATTGCAATGCAATCCTTTTTTGGTTCTGGATTGAAATTCAGCCCTCAGAGAATACTAATGAGTCTTGGAGTGTTATTAGCTTGAGAGCTTTATTTCTGTCAGGACCACTATCGTCAAAGATGATTGACAATTAGCATACAGTTTGGATTGGCGGTATGGTTCTGTTCTGAGCAAGAACTCCGTGTGCATCTATGCAGCCTAGCATGGATGAGATCAGGGAGAGCAGCGATAACCCCCCCAAGGTAAACAGAACAGAACCAACATAAATGTATTGCAGATATCGTTGAGTTCAATAATGTTATGTACACATTTTAGAATTAGTCTGATTCAAGGGAGAATCAGAAGGCTGAATCCTGACTGACAGAGGAGGAGTTGGGGATGGAGGAGGGTAATTAGCTATTGAGCAATGCGAAAACTGCAGATACTACTGCGGGACCTTATATATGAATACTTAGGTGTCGTATTCCCATAGGTTGATGGGGATCAGCTGAGAGTCAGCTGATGCGAGCTTGACTAACTTGACCTGCCAGAACGGTTCTGTTCTGAGCAAGAACTCCGTGTGCATCTATGCAGCCTAGCATGGATGAGATCAGGGAGAGCAGCGATAACCCCCCCAAGGTAAACAGAACAGAACCAACATAAATGTATTGCAGATATCGTTGAGTTCAATAATGTTATGTACACATTTTAGAATTAGTCTGATTCAAGGGAGAATCAGAAGGCTGAATCCTGACTGACAGAGGAGGAGTTGGGGATGGAGGAGGGTAATTAGCTATTGAGCAATGCGAAAACTGCAGATACTATTGCGGGACCTTATATATGAATACTTAGATAGGTGTCGTATTCCCGTAGGTTGATGGGGATCAGCTGAGAGTCAGCTGATGCGAGCTTGACTAACTTGACCTGCCAGAACGAACGCTACGCTAGATTACTCTGCATCGTATAGACTGTGAATAGTCTGCATTTATAAAGCACTTCATTGTGTCTACAGTCATGGAAAGGGCCTGAGATCACTGAGATTACACGCCCTTACTCACACCAGTGAGACTGAATATATAACAACTCATGACAGATATATAACGGATAAGCGATGGAGGGGGTGTGGTGCTTGGTTTCACTCCCAGATCACTCATTCACTCTGCCCATTTTTCGAGGGACTCTGATTATGGCACTCTCATTAAGTAGGAGGATTATTAAATACTGTATATGACATAAAACAACCTCTGTACGTATTAGGAAAAAACTGTGGTATTTACATAATCAGCACAGATATTATCAGATATTATTTACATTATCAGCATAGTCTTTGTAAATGGATTTCATGATCTACTGTGTCAAATGCTGCACTTACAACGAGCAGGATTAAAATACAGCAAGAACCAGAGTCAAGAGTGAGAAAAATGTAATTGGTAACCGTGAGTACTGTGTTGTTCTCTGAAACCAGACTGTTCAATTAAATCAGACATGTATTTCAACTGTGATTCCTTAACAGCTCCCTGATTCCGCTTGAAGAATTGCCTGAAGATTTCATATGATATCTGATGTCTGTCTTTCTTCCATCTGTGCTCAGCGCGCCCACACTCCTGTCTGAGAGAACAGGTGGACCCATTTAACCAAGGCTGAACTGTTTCAATACCTGTAACCTCACAGGGGCAATTGAGTCAAATGAGGCAATTGCTGTTAAAAAGATTTTCAATTAATTAAAAAGATTTTCCCAATTCATTGGGATTGACACCAGAGAAAAGGCCTGTAAAAGCATTAAAGGTTTTAGAAGACCTGGCAGTAGATGAATTAAAATATCGTATAAAACATGGCAAATGATAGGATTTGGGCAGAGTACAAGCTAGCATGGTACCTGCAGAGTACCATCCCAAAAGTAAAGTGTGTTGGAGCCTCATGCTGTGGGGCTGTTTTCCAGCTGTAGGGACTGAGGGACTAAAATATTGAGATAGCCTTAATGAAAACCTTGTCCAGAGCATTCAGAACCTCAGACTGGGCAGAAGGTTCACCTTCCAACAGGACAACGACCCTAAGCACACAGCAAGAGTGGCTGATAGACAACTCTGTGAATGTCCTTGAGTGGCCCAGCCACAGCCTGGGATTGAACCCAATCAAATATTTCTGGAGAAACCTGAAAATGTGTGTCTGCCCCACTCCAACCTGAAAGAGCTTGAAAGGTGAAGAGATGAGGACAAGAATGACAGCCTAATGCTGATGTGCAAAGCTTGTCGCATCATACTGTACCCAAAAAGACTTGAGGCTGTAAAGCTGCTCCAGCTAAGTAATGAGTTAAGAGTTAAACTGACAAAAAGTCAAAATTATGAGATACTAAGATACATCTGAAATGGTGAAAGACAGTATTTGACTCTCTCTCCCAGTGTTGTGTTGAGAGCAGACAGTGTTGAGTAAAATAATAACTCAACTGAGGTATAGTTTTTTGACATATTTAACTTTTGTCAAGACTTTTCAGCACATTGCACATTACACAACGATGACATATGCATTGTTTGTGCATGTTTGTGGGGCATGTGCGCATATATTTGCATATAACTTTACACGGAGGATCTGTCATGAAGAAATCACACACACACACACCGCCGCACGAGTCTGGAGCATGTGAAGATGATGATGAAATTGTCAGTTTATAGCAAATGATCTGATGAAGGATTGGACTGAACAAACTGATGATTAATGCCACAGGTGTTCTACACAATGACCATACAACCTTAAGAAAAATTTAATTCAAAGAGAAAAATGATTTATCTTGCCTCTTTGGTGGATATTCTTTTCTTTTTTTTTTTCTGCAAGACTCACTTAATTTTTATGTTTTTTCATAAAGCAAGGCTTAGCATCTTATGTCATCTTGATTCTTAAGGAAGAACACTTGACCGCTTAAGAATGTTTAGATATTTGTTTAGATATATCACTGTCACCGATTCTCATAATGGTGAGAGAATTTAAGATTAACGCTTTTAGCTCAATTTTATGTTGTAACACTAAAGCAATGGGTGGGGGGAGGGTTTCCAGGACAGTTTTAATGTCACATGTCTTGTTCAGCATGTCAGGATTTGAAATATGTGCTCTCACTGAAGCTGACAGTCTTTGCTGTGAATGACTTAACTAGTCTGCCCTCTGCTGGAGAACGCATGTGAACAGATCGCAAACATGGATAATGCATGGAAAGGCTTTATTTTCAGGCTTGTGCCTAAATAATCTTGAACACAATTCAATGAATCAAGTCAGATTTCACAGTGATATTAAAAAAAAAATATTAGAAAGCAATTATTTCTAAATGTGTTTCAAGCATTAGTGCAGCCCTTCGTGAGGGTTTACAATCATTTCTAAAGGTGTGTGACTCTAAGATGCGTGAACATTGATGGTCTTGAATCCGTGCAGGACGGTGGGAGGATTCTCCAACACTAAGCTAGCAGAAAGCATCTTGGCACCCGCCATTCTCGGAGTGAAATTGATGGGCTTTTTCATAGTTTCTCGAGGCTGAATCGTAAGCCTGAAATATAAAACACAGAACATTTAGAACAAAAACAGGCAAGCATCACTTTTACTGTTACAAGCATCGCTGTTATTGCTGCTCAGGGTACTGTGTGTCATTTTTTGGATGTTAAAATACTTTCTCTCATACTGTACAAGCTAATGATGCAGATTCAAAGATTGATTTTTTATTGGAAATTATAACAGTGCACTCTCAAAAATGCTGGGTTAAATACAACCCAGTGCTGGGTAAAATAGGGACAAACCCAGCAATTGGGCTGTTTTGACCCAGAGGTTGGGTTACTACCCAGAAGGTTGGGTTAAACATTTAACCCAACCTCTGGGTCAAAACAACCCAATTGCTGGGGTTGTCCCTATTTTACCCAGCACTTGGTTGTATTTAACCCAGCATTTTTTAGAGTG